GAATTTATGCAGCCGATTGCATAATTCATGGAAACTCTGACTGAGTTTTGGAAGTTTCCAGCCTGAATGCATTCAAGTTTACCCAATGAGTTGGCTAGAAGTTGAGCTAAACATGACTTATTGAGCTGGCCATTTAGGCAATAGTAATATAATAATAAATATATAGTATACACATATATATTGTATTATAATATATTGAATCATCATCATCAAAGAGCTGCAACAAAATAGAATTTATTCACAATTTTCATGTTGTTCAAACTCAATTATGCATCAAATTTTTAGTTCATCATATTTATTTATTTATTCATTTAACAAATAAGTTGTCGGACAAAAATTGTTATATAGCTTAAATCAATACAAATTTGTTGTATTTTATTTGCCTAACGGGACAGCTATGCCCCAATTCACAGCCCAAATACAGTTATTATTGGAACTATGAACAAATAAAATATACAAGATTGATACAATTTGCAGTTTAAAAACTGTAATAAAAATCAGAATTTAAATTAACAACAACACTATAAAAATAAAAAATAAATAAAAAAAAATTTCATATGTAGAAATTACTTTATATATGAATATATAAAAATATATAACTATATAAATAAAAAATAATAATAATAAAAAAAAATGATATATACAAAATATAAATTATTTATTAATTAATTATTTAATTATTATTTTATAATTTATTTATTTATGTATGTATTTATTTATTTATTTTTAGCTTATCTATGAATCCATAGCACTTTAAATATAATTAACCTTTTCTTAATTCTAAGATGTTCCACATTAAAAATAATATGTATCAATTTAAAGAATGAAAGCCATGTAAACATGGCTAAATAAATGTAGAAGACAGAGAAAATGATTAAAAAACTAATTAAAAGCAAAGAGTAAAAGCTTAATATAAATTCCTTAGGTAGGAAATAATCAAACAAATAAAAGTAAAGTAAAAAGATAAAAGTGGCAAAGCACCAAAAGCAGGTAAAGCTATTCTAGCGGTGGTTGACTGACTAGGGAATACCCTGTTTGCACAAAATAAAGTTGTGATGAACTTCTCATAAATTTCTGTTGCATTTGAAGAATCTGAAGTGGTCAGCATTTGTATCTTACCTAGAATTTTGTAATCTTCCATTTGCGATAAATATTTAAAATATTTGAAACTGTAAATTTCATTCTTAGATTGTAAATTATTTTTGGACCTGTATAATACAAAATTGTTGTTATACTTCTTAATCTTAATGGAAGAGCATAAGATCTTAACCAGAATTATAGCTGCTCTGATGCTTTATTTCATATATTTCTTGCACTAACTAAACAATATATTGATGGGGCTTCTTAGAGCAACGGCTCGTATTTGCTCTTACCCTTAGACTCGATCAACGAAAGTATAGCAACTTTCCGCTGCCTGCTCCCTCGCAGATAGATAATTCTGCTTATGTATGTATGTATGTATGTATGTATGTATATATGTACATAAATGTAGGTATGTATCCAAGATCATGCAGCAGTACACGAAAATTGAAATCGATTCACCAATAGCTCCCTTTTTCTATCGACTGGAGAGAAGAGTATTATATCGTTTGTCATACTAATGCAACACTCTAATCGTTAAATATGGGAAGAGCACGAGAGCGCATCTAAAATACTTTCCCACACAGTCAACTTTTCACCTACGCAGTTAAGCATGCTGCTGTCTCTGTCTCTTTCTTACCTCTCTCAGTGCATAAGTATTGCTTTCATATAATCTCTCTCACTCCATGGGATCTATAAGCATTAAAAACCAACATTTTCGGGGTTTCAATCCTCTGGACTGCACACACACACATACACAATTGCATACATATAAGTATATGTGTGTGTATTAGTGATGTTCAAAACTGTTGCATTGTCAATCAAAAATAGATTTATACCCCCACTAAAGTCATATAGCAGAGTTCTGTTATTAGCATCTATATCCGATTCTCAAATTCGATATCAGGAACCGCATGGCACTCGTCATGATGTCATCATCCGGCATGGCTAAGCCGTAGTCGAACTAGTCGTGGAACTGGTCAACAAAAATGCTGAGACTCAATTCAGATGAGGCTAAAACGCTTTCGATTTTCTTGGAAATGTCAATAGAACTTGAATAAATTTTCAGGTTGTTTTATTTTTTTTTTTTTTTTTGCCACTATATATATAAATATATGTATGTTTGTCTGTTTCTATCTATTTTTTTCTGATTTCGATTCGATGGGGTTTTGTTTCATTTGGCATTAATTGATGTTATCTTGTTTTAGTTCATTTCGCAGTATGCATGTTTAATATTTGTGATGTCTGCGCATTCATTTAAATTTAAAATATACAAAACATATACATAGGTATGCATATAGGTGTGTGTGTGTTGTTTGTGTATGTATTGGCTTGCGAATACGAATGAAGTCTGCACGTTTATCAGGCGGCAACAAATTCTCTGCGGGCTTATTTCATTTATTATACTCGTATAAGTTGCTATTGTTGTTGTTGTTGTTGTTGTTGCTTTATTTGTTCTCCTCCATCAATATAATATATGTGTTTTGTTTTGCAGTGAATAATCTCGGCGTGTTTGTTTATTTTTGTATTTGATATTTTTCTTCTCTATATATATGTATGTATGTATATTTGTCTTATTGCAAAACATTTGAAATTTGAAATTGAACAGCTCTCGAGTCGACGAGTCGAATTGGCCATGTTATTGTTTGAATATTTATTGGTAAGCCTGTGCGATCAATGAACCGAAACGCATAAGTTAAAACAACGCGACTATCAAATTCAATCAGAGCCTCAATATCGGCTGCATTTAATAAATGGATAAACCCCGCAGACAGCAGTGAGCATCGCTTTGATTGCGACTAAGGCCTATATAACTAAACAAAGCCGACATATACATGATATATACACACACCATATATATAAGCCACTCTATATACTTGTCCAAAACAAATGAAAGTTTGACGCTTGCCAACTGGAAGCCTCCACGGACTGTTTATATAGTTGAGTATTTTATTTTTTACTATATACTATACACACACATATATATATATTATATATATATATCTTCTTTTATATTTTAATTTTTGTGTGTATTATATATATATATATATATATATATATATATATATATATATATATATATATATATATATTTTTTTTTTTTTTTTTTTTTTTTTTTTTTTTGGGGTTTACATGAATATTCATATATTTATTTGACTGCAGACAGACAGCACAGCACGGCCACAGCACGCATGCATATGCCGAGCACAAAATTTTTGGGCATTTAAACCAATAAATATGTAAATTTTTCATAAATTTAATTAAATTCACCACAAAAGCTGCGTCTTTATCATCCACAGCAACAGCAACAGCAGCAGCGACGCTGACTGCAGGGAAAGTTTTACGCCCCCCGAAATACAAAAAAAAGAAAACTGGGGACAAAATAAACAGAAAAAAATGTAAAAGAAAGAGAAGACACAGAAATAGTGCGCGAGTAGTTGGCGGAGAATGGGAGAAGCGGAGAACTTTTACCGCATGGCATAAAAGATCTATGAGCTTTGTAAGGAAATCAAGAGAATGCGCGGAAAAAAAAAAAAAAAAAAAAAAAAAACGTCGAGAGAGAAAATAAAGTGAAATAAAAGTTGAGAATTGTATGCAAATCTATCTATTGCAGGAGCTGCCCAGATCCCCAGCCAGGTGCCAGATGCTTGACTGACTTACTGACTCACTGACTGTGGTGGGTGGTAATGTGCTTGGCTTGGTTGGGTGGCTGAGTTGAAAGAGCATTGTGTATATATATACATACATATATATATATAGGGCTGGTGGCTTGGCCGCCTGGTTAGCTCAAACTTGTAAAAGTTGGAGGATTCGCGGCCGATGATAAATGAAAATTTGTCAGAGAATTTAACGATTTGACTGACAAAGGCATTTCATAGTTTTGTTTATGCGAATGTGCCAACAACAACAACAACAATAAGAACAACAACGGCGCATAGTTGGCAACACAATATGGCACATCACAGGTTGGGCTTGGGGGGCTTTGGTGGCGGCATTTGTGATGGATGAGCGCACTTAAACAAAAAGAAATGAAATGACAAAGGCGAGCAAAAACGCAAGTGAGCGGACATGGAAATTAAAAGCAGCTGAAAGGACATCGCATGTCCCTCGACCAACAGCCAACTGGCAACTGGCAACTGGCAACTGACAAGCGGGCTGACTACATTCACCCGGCACTAGAATGGACATGGGGCATGGCCACGTGACTCTTTGAGCTGCATGAGGCAGAGGCTGCCGCTGTTGCCGCTGCTGCTGTTGTTGATGCCCCATGGTAAGCACTCACTGTGCCTGGGACATTTTCAATTAACACTTATTCAATTTTCCAGTGATTTTGGCCTTTTGTCTGCAGCCGCAGAGGACATATCCGATTAATAAGCCAGCGACAACAGCCAGCGAGCCTCGGCGAAAGTTATGTCAGCCCATTAATGGATAGGCATGGATAGAGGTGCATGCCCAGCGAGCGAGCAGCAAACAATATTCCAATAGCCGAATATGATTTGAGTGCAGAGCATATTCTTGATAAAGTTTTTAAAGTTTGCATCCAAAATTCTTCAGATTTTTAAAGTATGTTTAACATACATTTGTTTAACTTATGCAATCAGAATGAATTTTAGTAGTATATCTGATCTGAATTTCGATGTTTTATTTTCATTATATTTAATATTTATTTAACATTTTTAATGGAGGATGATATAAACCATCTATTAAAGTATGACGTACATTATTATGTATTTTAGGATGATATGTATTATTATGATTATATGATGTGTTGTATCAGATCTGAATTTGAATATTATAAATTTATTAAATTTAATATTTATCGATCTTTTATTTGGAAACAAAAACTTTGATACACTTTGAAAGAATTTCGATATTTTATGTTATTTTTATTTTTTTAATAAAATATTTCTTTAAGCTGATTTTATTAGAGGACGGCCAATGTTTATAGTAATGTAATTATTTTTAAATAACTCAAAAAAATTGTTTATTTCTTAATTTTTTGCTATACAAATTATAATCGTCACGGTGCTTGGCTTATACATAAACCAAGGCTGTCTGTTTTATTTTTTTATTTATTTATTTTTTTTTTTATTTTCTTTAAGCATTGGCCCCCAATACGGAAGAAAAGGTAATGAAATCCTCAGATGAAATTAATCTGAATATATCACTAAAAAAGACTCGGTCATTGTAGAAGCCTCAAGGCATTTATTCTCTTGAGTTACATTACATTTACCATATGGTTTTATTTTATTTGCATTTCACTTTGATACAGTCCCTAAGTCTCTTCTTATCATCCAATATTCTAGTCGAAGCTGTTACATAGAAAAATTGTGAACATAAAAAGAGAAGTTCTAGTCGGGACTGCTCGACTAGAAAATGAATCGCGAATCCAGCGAAGAGCTTATATTCCAATCAGTCTTCGCGGCATAACGAAGAACACGTGCACACATGCACACATGCACGCATACACACACACACAAACACGCACGCATAAGCTCACGCTCTAATAACAGCGCAGTTAACGAATGCTGCAACTGCGCTTGGGCATCAATTGGACCTCAATTGGACTTTACTATGGGAAACTAATTGAATTGAATATCCTTTGTTTTAATTATTTAATTATTAAATGACAACTATGCTAATTACCAAAATAGTTTTAGTTAACAATAAATTATAGAAGTATACAAGGTCTAGAAGTAAAAAATCCTTCTATATATCAATTTATCTCCCTATCTATATCATCCAAAAACTGAGATTGATTTGTAGAAAGACAGAAGTAGAATGACAGAAGTATATAAAAGTTTATATGATTGAGTTATGAAATATAACATTCTATATATACATCTATCCCTTGTCAATATCTGGTGCAACTGGCTATACTTAATAGCATTGAGATTATTTAATAAAAACTCGATACAAATTGATTCATATTTTGTGCAGAAAGCTCTACATTTCAGCTTTATTAATATATTCCACAGGCATGCCACATGCCTGTTTGTATTTAGCTATGGACACTTTTAATATCCGATGTAATTTCGATATTAAAATGGATCTGTGTAAAAGCCCTTTAAAAGCGCAATATTTCTAATTGGTTTTGGTGCCGTCGAATGCGATTGAAGCGTGGGCGGGTTATGTAAGGAAATGCTGTTTTGATAGGCAGGTGATGGATGAGTTGTGATTAGCAGGATGTTGTATAAGCGAGTGAGCGGATAATGGCTAACCGGGCTGGAATTGTGAAATAGAATGGGAATTAAAATAAAAGCAAGGCTCACATTTTGGCATGCAAATCGAAATGAAATTGAAGCGTCGACAGGGTCCGGCGGATGCAGCAAACCAGCAAACAATATGCAGCGCATAAAAATAAAGCGCAAACAGCAATAACAACAACAATTGACTAAGAAACAACAACAATAACAACAGCTAAACAAGAGCAGCTCAAATTGCTGCAATGCACCGGCACCGGATTTGAATGTTACGGGCGTAAATTCTGGCAAATCAGGCACATTAATTATGACGAATTTCGCGAGCGGTTGGGCAGCCATTGGTGCATTGGCGGCCAGTGGCCGGTGGCTGGTGGCCATGTTGCGTGTTGTAAAATTGAAATTGGATTGGAAATATTTGCACGAAATTCCAATTTCAATTTTCAATTGACGCGGCGTACGATGCAGGTTAGGGTTCGCAAATGTTTCGCTGGGGGCGGAGCTGGGGCCGGATGGGCCGGCGATGTTGGGCATGGGGCTCGTCCGTTGCTGCTGCGCTGCCGGCTCAAATAATACATGGCAGTCCACTGGCGACCACCAGGCCCCGACCAGCTCTGATGCGTTCGCAGCACCTTTGCCAGCTGCACTGGGCAGTAGCTGCGAATTTCAACTGCCATTTTCCTGCTTCACTCAATTACAGGCCTTTTGTGTCCATTCGATTGTCCGGCCGAAAGTGCAGGCCGTAACTGAAACCAAGTCCGTAACCGAATCATTCTCCAAATTGTCCTGCGTGTGTGTGTATGTGTGTGTATGTGTGTGAGAGTGTGTGAGAGTGTGTGTGAGCGTGTTTGGCTGCTGGTCGTGGGCCGTTTGTTTGCGGCCAGGTGGCCGCACCTGAAGTGATGTGAAAAGAACTGAAAACAATAACAGTGATCATGAAATGCGCATTGCGCGCATGATGGACACAAGGACGCGTTTACCTGCTCCCATTTCAATTGCTCCAGCCACGTCGTCTCCGTAGATTTATGGCTGGCAAGATGGGCGTGGCCGCATCGGACAGCAAGCGAACTGCTTTATTTGCATCCATTCGAAATTTGCATAAGTACACGCACACGCACACACACACGCACAGCGAATAGCCAGGTAGAATTTCAACTGTAAATGCTAGGCAAAGTGGGGCATATTAATCAGCTAGCTGAATATCCATTTAAGGTGGTTTATTAATTCACGGCAATTTGCTCTGCATACATACAGGCATACATACATACATATTTATGTATATATGTACATACATGTACACATGCATAAGTATAAACAAAACAGCAATTACAAAAGATTCTCTTCAAGTTATATTTATATACATACATACATATGTATGTATGCACATACATATCTTTTCATCTCAATTTGCTCACCTTATATTTGTATTTAATTTAATTTAAATTAATTTAACAACTGCGCAGTCTTTCTTCACAATGTTTATTTGCAGAATGACAATTTCTAGTCGCTTCTCTTCGTTCACTGAGAATCATCATAGCCTGCATTGATATAGCCATCTCACTCCCACTTAGCAACAGCTGAAGCAAAGTTCAGCAACAGCTGTCTATGTATGTGTCTCTCTCTCTCTCACACATTTGCCCGCAATGAAAATAAGAAGAGAGGCAGCTAAGACGTTCACTCTCGCTCGAATAACATTTTTACAACAGCTCAACACATGCTCTCAACTTCACACACTAATACTACTGCAATAGTCGACGGCAATCACAACAGAATTGAATAGAATTAGGAAACTTAGAGAGCTGACTTGTCTACTGCGATGAGACTTACAGTGGTTCACAGCTTATTTAAACAAACATAAAAAAAGACTTAGACATTTATAAAATCTAAGCTAAAATACATAACAGAAAATTGTAAAAGTGAGTTTTAACTTATAAAATATAAGTTAATCCATGCACATATGTATGTATTTATTTTTAAATTAAACTGCGAGCCACTGTTTGTTGTTCTTTTTTTTTTTTCATATAACTTCGTTTCTGCGTTTCATAATCCATTCTGGCTACATTGAAATACGGCATTGGACTTCACTTCTTCAGTTTGTTGCGCACTTTTCGCTGTCCACTTATAATTAAATTCGACGAAAAATGCAAAAAAAAAAAAAAAAATTTTTTTTGTATTCAAAATAAATTATTTAATACAAATAAAAAGTTTTTCGATTTATTTTGGTGTTTTGTTCGGCCATATAATTCACTTTAGCTACCCGAGCGTTGCTCGCTTTTGGGGGACCGGCAGCAGGTGCATGGATATGATTCGGTTTGGGGAGCATAAATTTATCGTTGCGCGTGTAAATTTAACGGCATTCGACGTGGCGGCAATGAGTGAGTGGGCCTAAGCTGAGCCGCACCGCGTGGCGGGGAGGTAGAGAGGGCGGTAGGCTCGTCTAGCAGCTGGACTTTTTTGGACAATGCCAATCATTGGCCCAGCGAGGCTTTGGAGCTGGAGTTGCAGCCATCGCTGACGTTGGGGAGTGGGGGAGCTGGGCTGAACTGAGGAGCAGCGTGGAGCAGTTTCCGTTGATGGCCTTTCGCATCTATTTATCGAATGCCCCAGCTGAACGGAGCTCGCGAGGCGGCAGCAGGCAGCGGAAGCAAATGACTTGAAGCGTTTTACACCTGAAATGATTTCATTTTTGAGGGCATGCTTTGGTCTCTTTAAAGCGACATTCTTGTTTGCTCAATTTTCGTAGCGGGTGGTGGGAGGGGGAGGGATGGTTGACGGCAAGTGTATTAAATAAAAAGTGACAACAAATATTGTTACGCTCGACGCTTCCAGCGCTTTGTCCACGGCCACCCACGCGGTGTCAGTGTCTGGCCAACGACGACGGCGACGGCGACGGCGACATTGTTCCTCAGCCTGGGACAGTCCGCTTCGCTTCGCTCTGCTCTGCTCCGCTCCGTTCTGCTGCGTTCTGTTCTGTTTTGACTAATGCTCAGAAAATTGGCCAAAATTTCATTTTGCCACCAAACGCGTCTGCACGTCAAATTCAGGCAGCGCCACGCCCTGCAACTAATGGAACCGAAGCTTACCTTGCTTGTAAGCAAATATTTACCTCTGAAACAAAGTAAGTAAGTTGCCAGCCTTTATGCCATCACAGCCACCATCGCCCTAGCCCTTGTCCATGCCCGCGTCCTTGTCCTCGTCCTCGTCCTCGTCTTCGTCCTTGCTCTCGTCCTCGCTGTCGCCCTCAGTGTGGCCCTCGCCAGCCCATGTTAAGCTGTATGCGGATTATCAAAGCAAACAACTGACTTACCTTCAACTGCTCGGATCCTCGGCAGCTTCGTTCTTACCGGCTCATCCGGCTGACTGCTTAAACCCTTTTTGAACGCCAAGCAGATGTTCAAACTATGACGTCACACTTGTCACCGCAACCTCTCTAGTTGAGTGTGTATCGAAGCATAATATTATTGAGAGATTACCAAAGGTGTGATAATGAGTATGAGGGGGCCAGATGGTGAGAGGGCGGGAAAGAGAGAGAGAGAGCGCGAAATAAGTTAATGGAGAAGAGAGAGAGTGGGAGAGAGCGATAAGGCGACATAGCGTTTGAGAGTAAATGAGACAGAGAGAAGAATGAAGTATAAAAAGAAGTATGTGAGATAGAGTTAGAAAGAGAGAGAAAAAGGGAGGGAGAGAGAGAGAGAGAGAGAGAGAGAGAATGAGAGAAAAAAGCTAATGGAGAAGAGAAAGAGTGACAAGAGACATAAAGTGTGATAGTAAATGAGACAGAGAGAGGGCATAAGAAGGAAAGAAGAAGAGTGTAAAAGACAGAGATAGAAAAAGAGACAGAGAAAAAGAGGAAGAGGAAGAGGGAGAAAGAGTGATTTTTAGATATTACGAGAGAAAGTAAGATAAATGAAATGAGCTCAAGCGAATATATGAGCGAAGGAGAGAGTGAGAAAGATGGAGGCAGAGACAGGAAGTGGTAGAGTGAATAACATAGATAAAGTGAGACTTAAATTAGGAGGCGGTACATTAGAGAGACCATAGTAGAGAGAGCGTATGATGATATGTGTATATAGAGTAAAATATATGTATGTATACATAGAGACAGAGCGAGAGAGAGAGATGAAAAACAGAGCTGTCTTAGTTAAAAAGCGAGATACAAATATTTCTTGCACATTTTTCTCTCGCTGCTTAATTTGTTCTGTTCTCTGTTACGTCGCTTAAGAGATGGAAGGTAAGACCAGAGGGATAAAGTGGAGAAGACAGAGAAGTCAGCTCATAATTTGCGCCATTCATATATTGCTTCACTGAACGCCCCTTCCCATCTTTCTCTCTCCCTCTCCCCCTCTCTCTCTCTCCCTCTATCTGACTAGCGTAGACAAATATTGAGCCTAGTTGAAGGAGCCAAGTTAATGTTATCATTTAATTAAGAAATTATGTTTGCATTCGTTTTGGCCGGTGTTGAATTCAATTATAAATTGATTGCAGCTGGCCGAAAGTCTGTGTGTGAATATATTCATATCGAGGGAGTGGGAGAGCTTAGCTAACCGCTAATTGGCCAACAATCAAACGTGGATAAACAAAGGACTTCTTAATGGCTCCACTTGCGGCCATCTAACGCACACTAATCCATTCTGAGGGGGACATCAATCAAATCGAATCGAATCGATCGACATCGGCCACAGCCACAGCAAGTGCTATAAATATTAATTTCGATTTCGTTATTATTACTGTTATTATTGTTGCTGGCCGCAAGAACAACATGTTGCTTGAAACTGGGCAATGCGCTCATTTCGCATGTACGAAAGTGAATGCCATAAAAGTTGTACATATATCTAAATGAATGAAGTAATAAAACTAAATAGCATCAGACGCAATTTTTTCACTCTCTCTTTCTCTCTCTCTCTCTGTGCCACTCTCTCTCCTGATGGCCAAAGTGCCAGCAAAACGAGCACAACTTGTCTCTGCTTCAACAACTGACTGTGCGTGTGTGTGTGTGTGTGTGTGTGTGTGTGTGTGTGTGTGTGCGTGTGTGTGTTTGTTTGTGCGTTAAGTGTGTGTATTCTTGCACTAAAGACTAATTAAGTTTTCATGGCCATGAGTCCTGGGCGCTGCTTTGGTCAGCCCCTGTTAAGTTCGTCGTCAGTTTGCTCGTTGAATGAATGAATGGTCAACTTGATTAATTTGAGGCAGCTAGACAAGCATTAATAATCCGGTTAAAGTGTGGGCAACACACACACACACGCACACCACCAATGTAAACACACTTAAGCAGAGCTTGTGGCTGGAGGAAAAGCAACAATAACAACAACAACAACAACAACAACAACAGCATCAACATCACCCGCAGCAGCAGCAGCAGCAGCAGAGGCAACAAAAAATTGCCGCAGTAAACACAAACTAAGTATAAAAGTCAAAACAAAGCCACAAAGTGTTGGTAACACACACTCGCACACACACACACACGCACACACATGGCAGGAGCAGAACGAGAGAGAGAGAGAGAGTGTGTGTGTGTGAGGTCTTGTGTAAGGACTTGTGTCCCCTTCCGCCGACATTTGTTGTTTATCGCTTCAGCAGCGCCATGAAGTATGCAACATTTTATTTAACTCAAATACTTTAACTAGCGCCAAAAAGGGGAAGGCAATGAAAATGCAATTGGGCTTTAGTCTATCTTAAGCACCATTTGCGTGGTGTTCGCGTGATATACGAGCCATAAACGAGGCCAAAGGACACAACAGCAGCTCTCGTCTCAACACCCCAACACCCCAACACCCCAACACCCCAATAGCCCAATACTCAAATACCCCAACTACCCAACCACCAAGTCCCCAACTATCCACAAAACAAACTAGCTGCTTAGTGTGGACGGCAGAGCAACCCCTAGACAATACTTGCCTACTGGGCACGACGTCACTCGCGACGTGTGAGGTCAGGTTCATAAGTAAGTCAATAAGTCAGTTGGTTAATGACAACAGCAACAACAGCAACAACAACAACAACAACAATAACAGACACAAGCAACAGCATCCCAAGCATTTGTTAGCTACACAAGCGAGTCCAGCCACCCCTCAGCTGGGGAAATTCTCTCAGTATTTGTAAGCGTTTGTCAGCGCTTCTGCTCTCAGCGCGCTTAGCAACATTTGATGCCAGCAACATGGACAGCAGTTTAGAAACTAATATGAGCAAGAGTTTTTAATTAGCTAATTTCAATATTATTTTTATACAAGTATATATGTATGTATGTATATGCACGCGAATTGCAAATCTTGGCTCTTGACTCTATTCTTTCGTTGGCTACAAAAGTGGAAGTAAAAGAAAAGTTTCTTAAGTTTGTTAGCTTAAGCAGTTGTTGCCTGCGGCCAGCTAAAATGTGTAACTGTGTCTAGTTGACTAGGGTAACTCTTTGTAATACCTAGCATCTGTGCAACAGTAGACAAGCTGTTCAGTTAAATTTCAGTATAGTATACGAAAATATGAAACTATATTGTTTACTCGACTGCTCTTGAAGATTTAAATG